AACTAATCGAAACATTATTAAATATGCTAAGAAAAAATATTTAAGCTGCATTATAAATTAAAATAAATGTGTTTCAATTATCTTTGACCTATCTTTGCACATCTTTTACGAATGCGCCTTGTAAATATTTAATACTAATAGATAATGTACTGTTACATCCAATGGCCATACACGCCGCGGTTAGTTGTTTAATAATAAAAAAAAAAAAAAAAATTTAATTTCTCTTGCGTTTAATTTTAATTTTTGAGGGTTTTTCTTGTGTTACAACTAATGACTTTGAATGTATATTGTATAGCATTTCGTTCGTTATAACTTATAACTTATATTAACCACTATGCAGGACTWAGCAGTTAAATCACCTTTAGAATAATTTTTTTTCTACAATTCCGTCGATTACATTTACATATTATGAAACATTAAGTAGTACAACCCTATAGAATGTGTGTGTTGTACTAGTTAGTGTTGGATAGTTGGATGGTGGAAGGGGGATTATCCAAACAAGTAAGTGGATCGTCACGTATCACCTTATCTATGACGTAAACTTTTGATTATGAATGGCTTGGTAAAAAATTCCWAGTATCTCGATCGTTAATACGAAGGAAGAAAAAACGTRTATCGTTTAAACCGTCATTGAGGGTTTCGTAAAGTAGTTTTTACGGTATGGATATCAATGGTCTAAGCATCGCCGCGCGCCGTCACTAGTTGCTAATATAATGCGACAGCCGACACGCACCTTGGCCCGAAACCAGGTGGCGGTTCAGTGCCAGCCGGCAACGGCGTTGTCGCTTCCTATAACCGGTTGCTGGTCGTATGTTCCCCCTACCTCTTTCGCTTCCATCACTTGGCCACGCCCTGTTCTCCGCCGTTTATTTACTCGTCAAAACCTAGCCCGTCGCAGCGGCGGGTAAATCGGTTCGTCTCCCTGCCGGCGCTCACTGTTCAGTGTTCAGGCCTCAGACGCACTACAGTTTACACTGTTTACAGTCACTCTCGTTACTCACCAATTCGCTAGCCAATGTTCAGTGYTCAGTAGTAGTGTACTAGCACCTGCTTATCCGTTCTCATCGCCGGCGCGTWACAAAATATGTGCAACGGATATTATTAAAACAAATTTCTTTCGGCCAGCTAGACGTGTGCGCGGTACTCAAGTGTTTTTCAAGTTGGTGCGTGTGCATCCCAATTACATCGTTTTCACGTGATTGTGCGATCCACTAGTCGTCAACGCTTGTTGTTGCTGCCGTCCTTACTGCATCGTGTTTTCAGAACTACCGCGACAAGATGGTGTCCGGAAAAACTGTAAGTCCTTGAGACGTAAAACGAACATATTATGTGTATCATCCGAAACTATTTGTGTCTGAATATTTACGATAGTACCTATTTATTTTTTAAATTCATACCTAACCGTTGCAGTAACTTACAATTTTTTTTTTTTAAATTTAACAATTAAATACAAATTTGTGAAAATTCCAACCCCCCGCGTTGGTAATTCGTAACAGGCAACATTATTATTAAATTACCGATCAACGGGAACATTTTAAAAGCCTGCATGTGTATAGGCCAACTGGTTTTGTTCTACTTGTTTCCCGCCAATTTATGAGATTCCAAAACAAAACAATAAAACAAACATACACATGTATAACATTTTTGTAACGTTATTTGTTACGGCTTGAACCGTGGAAACGGCAGGGTGGATATCTTTGTGATCTAGATTATACATTTTTCTACCATTGCGTGTTTCAGATGAACGTGAGGGTGACCACAATGGACGCTGAGTTGGAGTTTGCTATCCAGCAAACTACCACCGGCAAACAGCTATTCGATCAGGTAGTAAAAACCATAGGCTTGAGGGAGGTATGGTTTTTCGGCCTGCAGTACACTGACAACAAAGGCGATATGACCTGGATCAAACTGTAYAAAAAGGTATCAGTTGGTATTTTGTTTTTTTTCTTTCTTAGAATACAATATAGATTCAGCATCAATTTATATATTATTATTGTAAAACCTAAGATGATGAATTTCACATCGAAACGAAGGGGTATATTTGAAACCGTACGACCTTGGGGCAAACCGTAGGTAATATATTATGGGTTTTTTGTCGAGTATTTTCTTGTGTATTTGTGATCGAATCGCTTCATAAAAACTGTCTATAGCATTCTCGAAAACTCTTACAGTACATGTGACTAATGCGTTAGTGCCAAAGTCACAGTTTAATGTCTTCGAACAATTAGGTTATGCAAATCTATGAATAGTTTGTAGACTTGTAAAAACAAACATCTCCGTTAATCACTGTACAAACAACACTTAATAATTTAGATAATGTACTTTTGAAATTGTTTTTGGAACACATTTTATGAAGTACTAATATTGTCAAGCGGTAACTCATCATAATATATCGTTTGTGAAGTATAGCGACTTGTTGATTCTTATTACACTACCTACTCACATTTATCTTGTACTGGCGAAAGATTCAACAGGTGTTCTGATAATGATTATAAATTTATAAATACAAACTAAAAAATGGTTTTTCTTTTTATTGTTAATGTTATAAAAGAAGTTTKATAATGAGACTTTTTGAAAGTTTTTCCTTTTCAGTACCACGARTTTGAATTCAAGCTTTTTTATGTTTTTCTATGATATTTATTTTCAATACATTATAAGACAATACTAGCATACCTGTATACATTTTYGTAATTTATATTTTAAGACAGATGTATATTCATTGTTAGTAAGTTACAACAATCTAAAAAAATGGTTTTCTTTTTTAAATTGTACTCATTTATACTTCAAGAAAATGTGTATTAATTACTATGGTTGTATTGGAGATTATAAGAGGTGGACAATCAAATTTCACTACCAACCGTTTAATTATTATCTAAATATTTTTGCATAAATAATTGGAAACTTGGAAATGCATGATTTTTTAATTGTTGCCAAATAATAATTTTATATGCTTTTAGCYTCGTTACGGGTATTTAATAGAAATATTACCTTTAATGGATGTTTGATTTTTATTTTTCCCCTATATTCAATCTCCATGACTTTCGATATTAATTAAAAAGCCCGGTTAAACCGGATGTATCCATTATAAATGATGACTAAATACCGATTTCTCTTTGAATTATTGTCAACATGGTTTCTATATACACTACTAAAACTAACCTACCTTATGTGCATTTTTTCTTTTAGATACTTTTTTTCGATGCAAATTCATAAGTGTARATATAATTATAACTTTTTAGGTAGATACTCTTATGCATAAGATAAATTTTAATTGCACATTTTTCAAATCTTTTAATCAACATAAAGTGGGGAAGACTTATTGGAATATATGWTTGATAAATTATTCCAATAGCATTTCTCAGGCATTTATAGAATTACCAAGTGTCTGAGCGTTTCAATATTTGTCCTTGTCTGGCGGACATACCATATACTACTTTCTAAAACGAAGATACATCATTGTGTCAAGGTCACTAAGTGCCAGCAAAATCGCGTGTGGTATTATGCCGTCACTGCCCATCAGTATGAACTACACGTTCATAAAAATAACGATATACAATCGTAAACAGGGATAAAAGCATGGAAACGTATGATTTAGTCTGTATATAAGTATAACAGGATAAACGCAGAATATGCCCTTTAACAACAATTTTGTGATTAATTAATGTTATCTACTATAATTCTTTACCTAAATGGCTATATCGTGTATATTAAGTTACTAAAATAATCATTTGATTTATGTTCAAAAATGTACTTCATAATAATCATATCATATTATTAATCATTTTAAAATAATAAATTAGTTTTATTTGAAAGTTTTTTGAAAGATTCTATAACTACTACTGTTTAGGKTAAGGAGGACATTCGTACGTTCGTCCAAGAATTTCCAGGGCATTGCCTGTTAAGGAATTCGTGTCCCGGTATCCCGGAGAATTTCTTCCAGTCTGTGTTATTATTGGATTTGACCAATCACAAAATATGRTTCCAGAATTTAACTTAAGTAAAATAGATTTGAATAGTTTATCGAGTAAAGAAATCAAAATTTTTATAAATTCACTATTCAATTGAAATAGAGAAAAAATAAAAAAAAATTTCGTTGTTTTGAATATATCGTATTTATATATTTTATTAAAAAAAACTTGTTAGGATTTTTTAGTCGTGTATCTTAATCATGATATTTTTACTTATGATTTATCTTTTTTGATTATTTTACTATTATTAACTAACATTAATTTCTKACGATCGTTAGTAAATATTTTCAACTTTGAGACTGGTTATTTTTAAATTCCTTTTAGTAGAACCTATAGTATTTAAAATAAGACATGAAATTTGTTAATACTCGCAAGGTTACTCATATTATATTCATTAGTCATTACTCATAACTATTCAATAGATTTTTTTAAATCTTTACTCATATTTTTTTATGGGTACTTAAAGTATTAATAACGAAAACAAAATAGTGGTTCAATTGCAACGATTTATGCTTTTCAAATTGATAATTATCTATATTTACTTATTTATCCTAAATGATAAAAATGTAATTTTTAATTTTAAATAGTAGGAAGTAATTATCTTGACAAAATTTATTTGAAAGTTTTTATCTGGGTTCTCCAGAGCATTTTTTTAACTGTGTTGTGCTAATATGATTTTTGAATAAAAAATGATGACAAAWTAAATTTGAAACTTAAGTTAAAATCTTAATAAAATTATTATTTTTTAATTTGTCCATGTTTCAAAATGTTTCTAAAATAATAGAATTTTTGCTATTTTGCAATTTAGCCTATCRTCAATTTCATTTGGCATTCATAATAATTATTAAAATCGTACTAAAGTCTAAAAGTTTTATGTGTCGTAAACATTTTGCGTAACTCATAAGATAACATAGGAAACATTTTTCCACTWCCATACAACCGRAAAATAAATTAAAAAACTCCGTGTTTCACTCATTTTAATTAGTGATTTCATAGTCTCTGGTATYTTAAGAGGACGCCACACCCGCATGTGTTGTCTTCGTCTTTCAAGTGCGTAACAGGCAAATTTTATGTTCAGCAGTTCCAATTTAGCTCCGTTAGTTTACAACTTAGAGTAAATTGACCTCTTATAAGAATTAAAGGTAACATTATTACCTAGGTTTTCACAGAGGCTTTTTATTATATTTCAATTTTGAAGCGAGTTATGAGTATTTTAAG